ATGACTTACAATATTACTGCGTTATCTGGTAGTTCACAGTTTTGGACCTAACACACATACATTTGCTTTAGCACTACAGTTGCTTAAAGGGATACTTTAGTGTCAGGAATACAAAGCTGTATCTCTAGCATTATAGCTTCCTCTGCCTCCCCCTCCCTCCTGCCCCTCCAACGCGGTATTTACTTACCTTATCATAGTGCCGATGTCCATGGGCACTGGGCTGTGGCTTTGCCTCCTCCTACTTCTCGCGTAGAGCAGGCGCTAATTGGATACAAATGCTGCATACGTATTAGATCTGCACATAGCAAAGCATTGAATCAATGCTTTCCTATGTGAGATAATCTGGCACTGGAAGTCCTCATGCAGGACGTCCAGTGTCAGATACTGGACCAAAGCTCTGTTTGTATACAGGAAGTGCCTCCAGTGACTGTCTGGTAGGCAGCCACTGGAGGCAGACTTAGTGCTGCAATGTAAACATTACAGTTTCTCTGCAACTGCAGTGTTTAACATGGCAGCACTAAGTGCAATAGGGACACAGCACCCAGACCACTTCAATGAGCTGAAATGGTCTGAGTGCCTGTAGTGTCCCTTTAACAAATCTCCCCATTAGTTATAGTATTCATACAGTATACATATTGTTGCACAGATAATCATTCAGTACAAACTAATATTGACTAATCAACTTGTTATTTGAATCTTATATTATTTATTTATTTTATTTTTACATTTCTAAGAAAGTACTCAGTTTGAGACATAATGTGAATGGTTGTCTTGAAAGGTTCAGAGTCCAGATGAACATCTTGTAATTGTCATGTGAATATGTGTGTTCCATTTTTTTTTAACCCTTGATCTGTATTTGTGCAAGGGGTAGGCTATTGATAAAGCACCAATCTAAAAATCAAACATATTCGACTGCTTATCTTTTGGTTTTTCTCTCTCACATATTTATGTTTTTTTATTTTTAATTGTTATTTTTTTTTTTTACCTGTATCTCTTTTCTGCAACACATGTTATTTTTAAGTATAATTTGAAATAAAACAGTTTTTTGTTTGTACACGAACGAATGTTAAATTTTAGTATCCAGCTGGAGTGCGAAAAAAGTAAATATGAGTGTGTTTGAAAACTGATTGAAATTGTGCTGGAAGAATAGTGACAGATTATTGTTTCCCTTTCACAGTACAGATTTTGGCCTTACCGTATTTATTTCAGCATACCACACTGTTCTATGTATATACCCCGATGATGTCTGTAAAAGGCAATTACATTGTGTAAAAAGAAACCAAAGCACCGAAGGTACCTAAACAGAAGTACTGGTCTCCATCCTTGATGGAACACGTAACCGCCAGATGTTCAGGACAATGCACGAGCACCTTGATAGGGAAATTCACAATGCTAATTGCTAGAATGCTTATTAATTACGGGTATTATAACCCCTAATGTGGGTGCATGGACATTGAATGTGACACTACTGTATTTAGAGCCACTAGTAGTGAGATAATTGGCTGTGTCAAAATTGGTCCCAAAATATTGCATTATAGTGGATGCCTACAAATAATGAGAGTAATAGTCTTAACAAATGCATCAGGTAATACGTGAAAATACACTTTAATGTCTATAGTTTCACATTAATGATTTAAGCATGCTCAGTTGACTTGGAGATTCTTTTGTTACAAATAGCTATTAATACGAATTTGGATCAACTGGGCGATCATTCGGATTTCATAACTCCAAGCTGAAATGTAGCAGAACAAAAATCACTATGGCCAAGCATGTTTGCATTGATTTATGATTCTGAATTCCACCATTGGCACAAAAAAAAAAATATTGATGGGGAAAAATTATTGATGGCTAAGGGACAATCACTAAATTTTATTTGCAGATCAAATAAGAATTGATTAATAGAGGGAAAAAAGTAGGAATAGTCAAGTAAAAATCTTTATGTATATATTATATATTTAATAAATATATATATTGGCTTGACAAATTTGCTTGGAATCTAGGAGCCAGCTAAAAAAGTTAGGAGCCAGGATTTTTTTTTTTTATAAAGCTTAATTTTCAGCGACAAAAATACAATTCTTAAAGGGACACTATAGTCACCAGAACCGCTACAACTTAATGTAGTTATTCTGGTGTCTATAGCATGCCCCTGCAGACATTTTAATGCAAACACTGCCTGTTCAGAGAAAAGAAAGTGTTTACATTGCTGCCTGGTAACACCTCTAGTGGCAGTCACCCAGAAGGCCACTAAAGTACTTCCTATGTCAGTCCTGCACAGTGTGGAGCACCCACATTCTGTGCATTCTCACACGCTCTGAATGGATACACTGAACATTCCCGATAGAGATGCCGATTTGCGCAGCATTTAGCGCAGCATTTTGCAGCGCATGCGTAATAGCCTCCCAATGCTTTCCTACGGCTTGATTATCTAGGCAATGGAGGCGGAGCCAGCTGTGGAAAGACCAACATGGTGTGGAATAAAGGTGAGTAAAACACCATTCCCATGCAAGTATACTCATATTCTGGCATCAATGCAGGGCACGCAAGGGAACAGAGCAAGAAGATCACAGCTCCCTTGCAGCCTGGCTCCATTCTCCCCTAGCCAGCCATCCACTTCCAAGGGAGCTAACAAAACCCAGGTGCACAGACTTGATATTAGCCACCTGGAACTCTTGTTTCGAACTGGCTAGGGATGCCCCGATGATGCTGCCAGTGGGGGGGGTTAGACCTCTGGCAGCAAGGGGGTTAAACTCTGTAGGTGCAACTTTCATAGCAAAACGCTGCTTGTCTCCCACTACAGATCACTGTAGTGTTTATGTTGATAGGCGTACTCTGGCACCATTCCCCAGTAATGGGTAAAACCAGTTTACCCATCAGGCACCTGGTTTCCTCTGTAGGCAGAACTGCAGAAGCTGGATGCCAACCTATGGTACATCATCTGACTGCCAATGAATGACATTCTGTGCATAGCTTAAAACTGCACATACAGATTCTTGGCACCTTGACCACTTCAAAACACTGAAGCAGGGTCGTCATAATAGCAGTATAGGCCCCCAGGCAAATCACTGCACTGGGACGCTGCCTACAAAACCACTTACAGGAATAAAAATTTAAATTATCGATAAAATTAAGCTTATATTTATTGGTACCTTCAACAAAATCAATGTTTAAAGATCAAAAAACATGTTGTACAGCAGGGATTAATCCTCGCGCTTGTTTGGACGATATAACATGAGCCTTGAAGTGTAAACACAAGAAATTCAACAACAACAAAAATAGTTCTTAGTTGGTAAATCATACAGACGGAGATGGCACAGTACGAAATGATTATGAATTATTTATTATTAAGCAAGTATTCTGCACATTGCTTTAATGCTTCAACAAATTATGTGTGTTAATATTGTCTTGCTTATGTACAATTAGTACGTGTACGTTGTTTTCATAGAGGTGAAGTTATGTATTCGAAACAGCAAGATCGCATGTAAAGATAAGAGTTGATACTGAGGTGAATAGTCCACCTAAACGTTTTAATAAAAAGGGTTTGGAGGTTCTGAATAATTCTCCTGGAATAATATACTGAGAATTTGGCAAGCCTATGTGGGCTCTATGCTTGTAGGCCCCCCCGGCAACTGCCCAGCATGCCCATGTGTGAAGACAGCCCTGCACTGAAGTAGTCATGGCCCCTGGAGTAACTTTTTAAGCTATGCAGCTTTTAACAAATGTATTTATTTCTTTATTTTTAATTCTTTTTTTTGCAGGTGATGTATAAGATGAAGGTGACATGCATGGTACACCTTAATATCCATTGATGTACATTGTATACAGATAGCAAACACCTGATTTTTATGATAGTGGTCAAAAACAAATAAACTGAGAATCAAGCCTCATGTAACGAGCTACCATGTCGATATGTTGTTTGGGCTTAGGGCCCTCGAGAGGGGTTTATAGTCGTGTGTTAGGAGCTACGCTGGTCACACCAGGGCCTGTATGACCCTCGTGGTCGTCTTATCTTACTATAGATTATTTATGTATGAAAGAGACATACTAAAAGCTTGTAAACAAGGAACCTATACCTTCAATGTCACCATAAGGGTTAATAATAGATTGCAAAGTAATGGTATGTGAATGTGTCCAGTATGTATAGGCTTTGCGTGGTCCCTAACCAAAGGGGACATCTGGGGGGGGAGGAGATGTATGTGGTATAGTCGGTAGTTAGTGGACACTGTTGGTGTCGTCGCTAGGGTGAAGACTAACTATATGCACAGACTTCACTGGAGCTCCAGTCTGGTCGATACAATCAACAGTTAACAGGTGAGAACAAAGAGGAAAAACTAAAACTGCAATATTTCAACGTAAGTTAAGGTGGCATATTATGTCATGGCTCCCTGTCCATTCCATGGAGTGAAAGGGGTTATGTTGTGCACATCCCAAGTCCCATTGGTGTCTCGGGCCCTCCGCTCATGTGAGGCGTCACTTATGCCAACTGCTGCTAGGCAGGTAACGTCGGTAGCCTTCATCTGTCTGCCTTCCTTAAGGACTGTAAGCGATCTGGGCGTAGTCCAGTGGTATATTATGCCTGCCTCTTGCAGCCGTTGTGTAATGGGTTTCATTGTTTTTCTCCATAACAGGGTGGAGCAGTGGAGATCCTGGAAAAGTGAGATCTTGTGAGTCTCAACGGTCGTGTATTCATTTTTTTTAACAGTTACAGTGTTGGGCTGCACAAAAAAAAACTGGTGCTAGCGTAGATGGGTGTCATAAAGTCCAAGCATTTATATTTAAATCTAGTGGTAGATTCACTTGACTGCTGACTAACCCCACAAACCCCACCAGTTGCCCCGATAAGACAAGTGAGACCATCGTATGTTGGGTAAGGACAACGGCCACAGCTTTATTTATTAACAAATGCCAGCAACTTCTTAACCCTGTCGGCTGTTGGGATGCTTCACCAACAGGTAGATCTATCCCATTAAACCATGAGTCTGGAACAGCCTGCCCCCGCCACCAGCTCTCAGCAAGCTGCGACTACCCAAGCTTTCTCTGCACCTTCTTCTGCTTCTGCCAGGACTCTGCATTCTGTAGAGGAAACAAATCAAAACACACAACCAATGGCAACATTTTCATCTGCCTAACTAGGGGGAAAGGGAGGGAAAGTTAGGATCCCTGCCCCTAGCCTAGCTGACCGGTAAGTCCCCACCCAGTTAGTCCCTATAAATCTAGTCCCCATATTGTTACAAATGTATCCATTTTGTCCTATCCCCTTATCTCTAGCAGAAGTCATGTCAACCTCTTTTGTTTGCTAAACCATTTATCGTTCTACCAGTGAAATGTCGACAGCTTTCTCTTTCACAGTTCAGTTATATGAATGAATCCTGGAGATACATTCATCATCACTTTACGGAATAAAATAGATTATGCATAGACTGTTTAAGCAAAGGAATATATCACACTGATTGGTATCAGACTAATTACACTCAGCAAGGTGATGCACATAACACTTTTTGGACTTGTTTTGTACTGCTGATAAAACCCTTTTTTTTGTTTGTTTTTTCCTGTTTCATCAAAAAAGTAAATAGCTCTTACTGTTCCCTGCAGATGGTTTGGCGAAATACATTTAAGAACATCAGTTGAACTATACTGCCCTCTGCTGGCACGTTAGCCGCAACAACACTAGAAAAAAGAAGATTCTTGCCTTTAACTCCTTAAGGATGGAAGCAATTACATAATTTAATATAAATAATTCCTAAAAAAGTTAAGATTTTTCATTTTTATTTTTAAGTTTTGCATAGCATTTAAACTGTGAATGTCATAATGTGAATAGTGAATATCATAATACTGTTAGCT